CATTCGTTCCGACCCCGCTGTCTGGTTTGGTTTCTGGTGGACAGAATCAGGTATGCTTTTTAGCGTAAAGAGTAGAGAATTCATTATTGCCGTAATTGTACCTTTTTGCAACCAAGCCGGATCATACCATTCACTAGATCATATTCGTTCCAACCCCGCTGACCGCTTTGGCTTCTGCATACATCAATGTGTATTGTGTTATTGTTACGAGTATAGATTTCGTCATTGCTGTGTCACTTCACAACCAATTGTATTGATTTTAGCACTATCTAGGTACATAGTAAAACCGTGTTCAACCCTTTTTACATTTGTATGGCACTCACTATTTCAATGTCCATAGCTCGCATCGTTCCAGGTGGAGCTTACCATGCGTGTATTTTTTCCGAGCACCACGGAACGTGCGATCTGCGAAATTCAGGACCATAGTGGTTCATTCGGGTTCACTGCATTGGGTAAAACAGCCGTTGCACTGAACCAGATTGTGCGAAGGCATGCGCTTGAGGAGGGTATTCACTACCAGCTCATTCGTTTATTTGTATGGCTTACGGGAATCTACATATCGAACCGCCAAGTTTTGACGTCACCAAGGTCCGTTAACAATGCCAAGTGTCTCGTCACTAAATTAATCTCCTTATTATCCCATGCTTTATATTTTCTCTGCCCTGCATTGTTTTTATGTAATCACTGTTGACTTGCTTTACAATTTTATCTTCATTTACGTAATGTATATGTTTCTACTCGTTGTTGTGACCTTCAGATCCCAAGTCCTTGAAATCACGGATGATGATGCAATCTCTCGCATTGCGCCGAACTTGAGCAACACTGCACCTGTTTGTGAGGATTGGGGCGAAGCTGCTTCGTAAGTTATTATTTTCAATCTTACTCAGATATCCTTCGTACTGTGCGGTCATTTATTGAAGCTGAACACTATGCACATTTTTTTTGCAGGCTTGCCGGCGTGGAAGATCACGCTTTTGCAAGGCGGAACGAAAATGTGGCCATTATACGCGGCGCGATCACCGGATTTATTGTCAATGCAGGACAGCGCTGTATTCGTGATGACACGGTTAAAGGGGGGGGTGTCTGCGGTCGCAATGCTCGCTACTTTTACACCAGCCAACGATGGAAGTGCTCCGCGAGACACGAGGAGATGGATGTCAAGTGTTTCACTGAGATTTGAGTCACATTCGACAATCAGGAAGGTTAGTAGTTAATGCATAAATTATTGTATATTATATACCCATAAATATCATGTTCTTCAGCTCAATATACAGCATACATCTTACCTCTACACATACGTGCATCTCTTTTTCCAGTGCGTGACAAAAAAATCGGGATTCGCAAGGGCGTACTGGCAAAGATCAAGTTGGAGGCGATCGAGCAAGTTATTCCGAATGCTTGTACCATTGAGTTCAGCATGGCAGACAACGAACAGAAACACAAAATGCTGACTGGTCTTATTGGAAGATGGCTCATCCAAGTAAGGAATATAACAACACAACAACATGTTGTTATTCATGCCAACAAATTCGTCATTTGTGTTTAGTAAGATTTTTTTTGTCATGTTTGACTTCTCTTTTGGCTTGTGTTATCCATATTATGCTCACAGGTAAAGGTATGTGGCATCTGGGATGGGATCACAAGGTCGATAATTTCACTCAATCGCCCCTTTGATACTGAGAGTATAATCACCATGTCGCTTTTGTATATTTACATACCCTGTATTGTTTTTTCGTTCGAACCAAACTTTACCATCGACATCCTGTCTTGTTATACTGGATAATGCTTAGGACGTCCCATCAACAAATGACAATAACAAGCGGATTGGTACCAGCGCTAATGCCGTACATCCGGCAACTCCTGCGAAGGTTGACCGTCGTCTCTAAGAGTAAGTCATCGATACATATAATTTGTCAACATAACTCTTCATACTATTATACTATACACATTTTATCTACTTCATCCCTTTCAGGTGGATGGCCGTCCACTTACTCGGACAACTTGAATTAAATTGATACAATGAGTAGCAGCGAAACGTCACATGGGAAATGGGAGGGGAGGGGGATGATTGGGGGGGAATGGAATGGGTGGGGTGGTGGGGAAGGCGAGTGGAGGGTCTAAGACTTGGGCAAGGTAGCATCTTAAGATAATGGGTCCTATGTTTTTCATTTTTGATAACCATGCTTTTGTGTTAACCTATTTCTTTCCGTGTGTATCCCTGTCATGTACTATCATGTTGGTCTATCGTTCGGTCAATAGTGTACCATGTGGTATGCCTGTGTTTTCTACGTACCGCATTGCCACGTCATGCACATAGTTGTATTGTGTCGTACCCTTGTGAAATCGATACTCATTATGCCTAGTATTGTATATAATTTGTGATTGTCATTGCCGGTCTTGGGACTCGATTCCCAAAATGTGAGTCTCATTGTAGCACGAGAGCATTGACACGTTCGTTTTCTTGCCCGTAATGTTGTACTATGTAATGTGCTCAATTGCATGCGTTGTTAAGAGAGTGCATTTTGTTGTGTGTGCAGTGGCACAACACAGCGTATGCCTAGTGCACAGTACAATTTGCGATTGTCGTTGCCGGTTTGCGACATTCTTCCCATAACGCGCATGTCAACACAAAAGCATTGATGCGTTTGCTTCATTGCATTCACTACTGTTCCGTATTTTTTGTTGTCAATGGTGTTTACTGTGTCTTGTGCATAAGTTCTATATGTATTGTATTGTTATGTCATGCACATACCTAGTTGTATTGTACCGTAATCACCCGGATAGACGCCCCTAGGGGCGTTTACTAGACTGGTTTGAAAACGTGGGGGGGCGTTTAATTGAATAAAAAATATAAGCCCATGGGCGTTTCAAAGGGATTATATGGAAAGTTAAAGTTTGACATCGACATGTAGCTGCTGGTTTGTCGTGTGCAATGGGAGTAATTTTAGGCGAGGATTAAAAGTCAATCGTGTTGGAAGTCCAGTCAACGCGGTGCCAGACTGGAAACTTCCTTTTCTGATACGAATGGTGCTGGCGCGAGGTGTCAGGGAGCGTGAGTTCCGCCTCTGACAGGCACGAAGCGAGTAGCCTCGGTATTACCTGCACATGTTCGGTCTATTTGTACAGTGTTTCAACTGAATTTCTGAGGGGGCTTATAGGGTACATGTTCTGAAAAAATAAGGGGGGCCTATAATCGAATAATGCCTATAAGTCCCAATGCACGAGTTAGAGCCCATGGGACTAATCCTACGGAGGGGCGTCTATCCGGGTGATTACGGTATTGTCCCCGTGGACACGATGCTGACTATGCTTAGTGCGGTATACAATTTGCGATTGTCGTTGCCGGTCTGGGGACTCGCTTCCCATAACGTGCATGTCAGTCTCTATTGTAGTACGAAAGCATTGACGCGTTCGTTTTCCTACCCGTAATATTGTACAATGTAATGTGCTCGATGGCATGCGTTGCTAAGAACGATGCTAACTATGCCTAGTACGGTATACAATTAGCGATTGTCGTTGTCGGTTTGAGACTTTCTTCTCATAACGTGCATGCCAATCGCCATCATAGCACGGAAGCATTCATGTGTCTGCTTTGTTGTATTCGCTACTATTTCGTAATATTTATTTGCCATAATGTATTGTGTGCTGTTGTAATGTAGTATCTCTATCATTCTCCGCCGTAATTATCGACGGCGAATGATTTGAGATTCTCCTCATTCATAGGTAGCTTAGATTGTTGGCCCAAATCTCTATGATATTCTTCTATTTTTATGTCGGTATGAGTATCGCCGACATATCAAATAGAATAGCATAATAATAAGTTATGCAAGACAAAATGGTTAGCTAAGTCTAACAATAGTAGTATAATAATAATGGATATAAAAGTAGAAGAATAGAAGAAAATATATGATAATAGTAATAGCAATAGTAGTGGTAATAATAATAATAATAATAGTCGTAGTAGTACTAGTAATAATAATACTAATAATCAAAAGAAGAAGAAGAAGAATAATAATAATTACTACAACAATAATACAACAAAGAGAATATAAAAAATATTAAATACACTAGAAACAGCAGGAATACGTATGTGGAAATAAATAATACTAATAATACAAATCTTTAGAGTAAAGGATGCATTAGACCTTAAAAATGATATGGGTTATTATCTCGATAAGATTTAGAATAATATGTAGTGCAATATCGGTCCACGACAATCGGTCCACCGACCGATTATAAAAGGTTGTTACACAACCCAAAAAAACCCTGAATCAGGGAAATTTGCCTTAAAACAGAGGCACCGCATGTTCAAAACGGCCACTACTACTACACCACACAGGGTCGTTCGGTTTCCAAAACTGCCTGGTTCCGAACACTTTGCTGCTACCGGGAAAACCATATCGAGTCTACGGTTTGGTCGACTTCGACCATCCCTGAAACGTCTTCCGCTAGTGCTGACCGGCTGCGAAACTTTCCAACCGAAAGTTCGAGCAGCGAAATCGATTTCAGCTTGTTGACCGTCTTCGCATTCTAACCCCACACAACACCAAGGGGGTTGCCTGGGACGCCCATCGCGTGTCGTTTCTTTTCGCAAATACTGCAGTAAGTTTCGAGGTCGGCATTATCCTGCCCATTCGCTGTCCCCCGGTTTTCCCCACCACAAAAATGTTCCTTAGCACACAATTGGTTCATTTCGCACACTGCTTCGTTTCGACGGTTCGAGGCAGCACACACTCCAGCGTGCGGTGACGAGAGTACCGTACTAAACACCTTGGCTATCGTTTGGAACCGTGAAAAGGCCCACAACCGCGCAAAATGAGCTGAGACAGTCCCCTGCGTTGTTCTGAAGCGTACGTCCAAATGCGGTTGAGTGAGGTTGATTGCGTATCAAAAGGATCAAAAAGGTTTTTGAAACGGTTCGGTAGGGTATTGGCCGAAAACGAATGCATTGGTCACGCCCTCATGTACTTCCGTGAGTGACGCTTCTTGGGAGCCCTACGCGGGACGGCATTCCCTGACACTCCGTGGGAACTCGTTTCGTCAGCAGCACATTAGATGTAGCGCACTCTCGGCTCTGAGCTCTACTAGTTTAGAGCAGAGGCGACTGGACCCGCTGCGCTCACATTAGCACACGATAGCAACGCTCAATATCGCGAACAGTAATAAGGCGCAAGCCCCATCAGCGATCTGCCTCCACGAGAGGCGACAGCTTCTGTTTCAAGGCGCCTCAATGTGCGACGCGAGAATGGCTCGTAGCTTTGGACGACGTCGTCCTGCGCCGGTGCGAATCGCATCGTCGACGGTGGTGCGTGTAGCGCTCACGCTGATCGTCGCCTTGCTTTCGCGTCGTGCTCTCGCTGCCACGGATCCCGCTCACTGTAAGGAAACGCTCACCGGGGGCATGCAAGCCGATAAGACGATCTTTTTACTGAGTCAATAGGTGCGTAATTCGGTAAGGCGATCCTTTGTTGAGTCAGTAGGTACGTAATTTGGTAAGGCGATCCTTACTGAGTCAGTAGGTACGTAATTCGGTAAGGCGATCCTTTAGTGAGTTAGTAGGTACGTAATTCGGTAAGGCGATCCTTTATTGAGTCAGTAGGTACGTAATTCGGTAAGGCGATCCTTACTGAGTCAGTAGGTACGTAATTCGGTAAGGCAATCCTGTACTGAGTCATTACGTAATTTGTACGTAATTCGGTTGCGGAGGCGTGACATCCAAGATTACTCACAGTTTAGGTCGCTCCCTGTCGCCCTGTCTCCTTGTCGCCCTGTCCCCTTGTCGCCCTGTCCCTTGTCGCCCTGTCCCCCTGTCCCCCTGTCGCCCTGTCGCCATCCGCCGTGCCATCCGCCGTGCCATCCCAGTATGCAACCAATCCACCCCCTCTTTCAAGACCTGGACGATTGCCGACCTGCGCTCTTGAGGCGCCTCAAAACAATGCCTTCTCGTCTCCCCACTACCCCGCCACTTCTCTGTCCCTCCCTTCCCTGCCATCCAGTGGTCATTCTCAGCAGTTTCGCGGCCCTTGGCAACGCCATCAGCGCGCCTTTCAACACTTGGACGGCCGACAAAGCCGTGTCCTCGAGACGCTGCACCGCAAGACAGTATCGTCTCGCTATTCCCCCTTTATCCCGGCCCTCCAGTTGCTATTCTGAGGCAATTCGCGGCCCTAGGCAACTTCAGCAGCCCGGATTTCATCGCTTGGACGCGCGACAAGCTGTGCTCGTGAGACGCCGCAGGCAAGACAGAAACGTCTACTCGTTCCCCTTTGCCCCTGCTGCCCTCCAGTGCCCATTCTCAGGAGTTTCGCGGCCCTAGGCAATCCCACCAGCCCGCCTTTCAACGCTTGGGCAGGCGACGACCCGTGCGGTGCCGATGCAGGGAGCGCATGGCCAGGAATAAAGTGTGACGGGGGCGGCACATTCAACGTAGTGTCTGAGATGTGAGTGTGTCGAAGGGGAGGGAGGTGGTTCAGTGAGTTAGACGGGCAATGAGCCCTGTGGTGCCGATACAGGGTGCGCATGGGCGGTATCAAGTGTGAGGCGGGGGCAAGGGTGAAAATGAATAGCACAGTATTCGAATAGTATTCGTATCCGACTCGTTTAAGGGGTATTTGGCGAGTAGAATAACACCCAGATACTCGACACTATTCGACCGTCAAATACTCGGATTCGGCAAATACTTGAGAGGACTATTCGACGAGTACTTGACTGTTCGAATAGTACTTACATTCATGGCCATACGCAAAGGAAAGGCTGTGAAAGCACGCACAAAAACCTATCCAACTTCGTCAGAATATGAACTTCAGATGTGTGAGCCAAAATCACACCTAGCATGCTACGGTGTGGTGGCCAATGCGATGGACACAGGTAAGGGGCGGACTGGAAAGAGGTATCGTGGTAGGACACCATGGCGTCTCATACACACCGTTTACACCTGTGGACATCGCTACCCGCATCAAGAGTTGACCGTGCATCGTCACGGTCTGAATGTGCACCCATACTCAATGCGCATATGCCAAAAATGCAGCATGACAAGATACCTTTAGTACAATTCGTATTCGACTCGTATCCGTATTTGATAGAGTCCAAGTATTCGAGCAAATACCTTTTCGCCAACTATTCGCCTATTACTTGCCTAAAGTACTTGTACTCGTAATCGTTTTCGTGTTAACACCCTTAGTCGAGGGAGGCATTCAATGCAGCGGCTGAGATGTGAGTGTGGCACAGGGGGATTCGTGTGGCTGGCTCACGGTATGAAAGGTTTAGTGCGTGGATGGGCGATGATCCGTGTGGTGCGGAGCAGATGCCATGAGTGCGTGGGCGGGGATCAAGTGCGACGCAGGCAACACACTGAACGCTGTGGCTCAGATGTGAGTGTCGTGATGGAGAAAGGTGGGTGTGGGGTGGTGCTTAGTGAATGGAGGGGCGATGGCCCCTGTGGTGCTGATGCAGGGAGCACACAGGCCAGGAGCAAGCGTGCATAGGGAATGGAATTGACTTTGTCTCCGTTCCTCTGTCCTTCCGGTCCTGGCGGACTCACGTTCTCTAGCCCCTCTCCCAACCCTTCTCCCTCTTCCATTCCGTCACTCTGCATTCGTTTCCCTCCCATGCCGTTTCCCGCCCTCTTTGACTCCCTCTCCCCCGTGCCACCCCTCTCAGTGACATTCAGGACGCCCAGCTAGCGGGGGACTTGCCTCCATCGCTCTTCGGCCTCACCACGCTCCGCACCATGTGAGCCGCCTTCCGCCGCCTCCCCGCTCTTCCCTCTCCCGCCTTTCCTCCCCCCTGTTTCTTCCTTCCCCTCTCCCTTCTTCTCCTCGTTTCCCCCCTCTCCCTACTTCTCCTCTCCTCTCTGTCCCCTTTGTTCCTTATCCCCTAGTTTCATTGCACTCTGTGGGCTGCCTTCCTCCCCCTCTACCTTCCGGTCTCTTGCTTCACACATTGTGAGTTACGCACCTCTATTCTCAGCAGTCGTTTCTCCACTCCTCCCTCTCCCCCCTCCGTTACTCCCCTGCCCTCCCTCTCCCCCTTCGTTGCTCCATCCCTTGTGACTTTTGAGTCGATTCAAAAGTCACCTTGTTCCATCCCTTGTTCTTGCGTCGTCCTGTTTGCCGTGAAGAGATGGGAGTCTAAGCCACGAAGCCCTTTCAATCCACATGCAGGCATGCATGCTCACGAGCGCGCATAGCTCTTAACATGCTCCCCAGTGTGTGCTTGTTTTACCCCAACCGAGGTAAAGTTGTGTCCCCCCACCCTTCCCCACCCCCCCCCTTCCCCCTCCTCCTCTCCCTCCCCTACCACCCCGCCCCCCGGGTCTCTTCTCATAGCATAGCGCTCGTCCCCCTCCCCCCTCTGTTTCCCCCTCCGCCCCCTTCCCCCCCCTCACCCCATTCCTCCTCCCCCTCCGCCCCCCTTTCTTCGTCCCCCCAATAGCAATCTGGCACTCAACCCTAAAATCACGGGCAGCTTTCCAGAGACACTGGGGAACCTTTTGCAGCTGACTACACTGTAAGTGCTCTGCGCTGTGAGCCCACTGCATTGTGAGCACTCTCCGCTGTGAGCCCACACCATTGTGAGTGCTCTGCTCTGTGCAGTTTTTGATATGGTGATCCGTGATCACTGATAGAAGCACCTGCACTGTTCCTCTCCCTGCTTCCCCTCCCCCCCACCTCCCCAACGCTCCAAACAAGCAGCGACATGCACAGGTGCAGGCTATTTGGCTTTCTCTTGTCCACCATTTGACGCCTAACCAACCTCAAGCACTGTCACCCCCCCTTCTCCCCCGCCACCTCCCCTCCTACACGAGCAGCGACATGCACAGCTGCGGTCTCTCTGGTTCTATCCCGTCCACCATTGGACGCCTCACCAGCCTCAAGTACTTCCTCGTCAACCAGAACCGCCTGTCGGGCTCCCTGCCCTCTCAGATGGGCGCCCTCCCGCACCTCTACATGCTGGACGTCATGGACAACCAGCTCGAGGGGCCTCTGCCATCATTCCAGGGGGCCACAGAGCTGGGCCATCTGTGAGTCTCGCCCCCTACCTACCCCTACCTCCTCCCTCAGCATCTCCACCACATGCATGACGCCATGCACAACATCATTGAAGGGCCTCTGCCACTGTTTGCTGGTGCTACAGAGCTGGGGCACCTGTGAGTATCATCCCCCCCCCCTACCTCTGGCTCTCCCCTCCCTCGCCTCTACATGCTTGACACCATGGACTACCAGCTTGAGTGTGCGCTGCCGATGCTCTAGGGTGCGTTAGAGCTAGGCGACCTGCAAGCCAAATGTGCCGCAATCTGCTCAAATGCTCTCTTCCTCTTCTCCCTTTGTCTCTTCCCCCCTCATCCTCGTTCCCTTTTCCCCATCCCTCTCTCTCCCCGCCCACCTTTCCATCCCCTCTCCCCCCACCCAGTACCCGAGCCCCCACAGCCACATGAGCCGCAACCTGTTTCACATTTGTTCCTGCAGGGATTAGGAAAAACTCCCCACACCCTCTTCCTCTCCCCACATCCTCTTCCTCTCCCCACATCCTCTCTTCCTCTCCCCACACACTCTCTTCCTCTCCTCACACCCTCTCTTCCTCTCACATCCTCTTCCTCTCCCCACATCCTCTTCCTCCCCCCACATCCTCTCGTCCTCTCCCCACATCCTCACTTCCTCCTCCCTCCCTCTGATCTCCCCCCATCGTCTCCCGTCCTCTCTGCAGCCACATGAGCCGCAACCTGTTCACGTCTGTTCCTGCAGAGATCAGCCAACTGCCAAAACTGGAGCACCTGTGAGTCATGGATGCTAGAGGGTGTGTGAGTCATAATACAGCGAGTCACAATCAGACAAATGGGTCACTCTGACTTGCAGTCACATTAGATAACCAGCACTGCTGACCAGCACTGTTGACCAGCACTGTTGGCCATGATATTCAAAGTAGATATCCAGCACTGGCAGACAACTGTATTATACTCAAATTAGTCGACATTCAGATAGTTGTCTAAAAAGTGCAGATATGTGATCGCTACACTGGAGGAGACATGGTCAAATCGCGATTGCGATTTAAATCACATCGCGATGTGGGGTGATTTAAATAAAAGCGATGGGATTTAAAATCGCATCGCGTGATTTTAATTTAAAAAATATATATATAAAAATCCCACACCACGTTTAGAGTGCGATTTTAATTAACATCTCCGGCAATGAAAATTTAAATTGCACGATGCGATAATTAATCGCATTGCTTTCCAGGCCAGAATGAAAACCATCCCAAAAAGTCCCAAAAAACCACATTTTTTATTGCGTTTATATCGCATTTTTGGTGCGCGATTAAATGCGATAAAAAAAAACGGAGCAATGAACAATATATCGCATCGCTCGACTATATATATATGTATATATATATATAACGCAACTGCAAAAATGTGTGTTTATGCGATGCGATGCGATTTATTTTGCTCATGTCTACACTGGAGTCAGTGCCTCTTTTTTCCCCGTCTGCCCTGTGTGGCACTCAAGTCAGTGGCAGGCTCAGGGGCAGCAACCGTCTCACTCACTCATGTCGTATATGAGAGTCCCTATAGCTGCTCTCAAATCTCTCCCTTCTGTCCTTGATTCAATCATGCATTGTGTGGCAGGCTTATGGACAGTAACAGACTAACTCATGACATTCCACTCGCTTTTAACAACACCAACTTTACTGTTATGTGAGTGTGAGCGATCTCCACTTAGTGGCAACACTTGGGAATGCTGTGGCTGGAATGCACTTAGCACTGGTTTGCTAAAAAAACGCCCTTTATCTCACGTCCCCTACTGTTGTTCACTAAATGCCGCTGCTGAACCCATTTGTTCTTCACTCCTACTGTGACCTTATACTTCTCCCACCCACCCTTTCCCCACCCCGCCTCACCAAGCAGCCACTGGAGCCACAGTATAGTACCCGGCCCTCTAACCCCCACCTTCTTTCCCCTCCTCCCCCTCCGTTCCCTTTCTTGCAAGCAGCTATTGGAGCAACAACATAATACCCGGCCCTCTGCCCTCCACCTGGTTCTTTCCCAAACTCAGGGACTTGTACGTTGCCTCGTGTTCCTGCTCCTTGCAGTGCTGCTTTTCTTTCTGGCCTTGCTTTTCTCAGCCCAGAGACATCAGAGCTGTGTTGCTGCTTTTTTCAATCCCTCCATCTCGTTGCGGTGGTGCTGCAGAGTCATCGGTGCAGCGCGATCACTGCAGGAAGCGATCCGAACTGCGTGTTAAACTCATTTTACGTTTGTCATGCATGTATGTGCGTGTGTGTGCGTGTGTGTGTGTGTGTGTGCGTGTGTGTGTGTGTGTGAGTGTGTGCGTGTGTGTGTGTGTGTGTGTGTTTGAGAGAGGATGGGTGGGTGGGTGAGTGGGTGCGTGCGTGCGTGTCTGCGTGTGTGTGCGGGCATGCGCAAGTGAGTGCGTTTGCTTAGCATCTGTGCGTGCATGTGTGTGCATGTGTGTGCATTTGTGTGCATTTGTGTGCATTTGTGTGCATGTGTGTGTGTTTGCATGTGTGTAGATGTGTGTACATGTGTGCGTGCATGTGTGTCCATGTGTGTGCATGTGCTGCGCACGTATGTATGCCGTATCCCAACACAGCCTCGTCAGCAACTGTTCCCTCCCAGACCAGCCCCTGCCCTCCTTCCCTCGCTCTGTCAATCTCTCCAACCTGTAAGTCCACTCTTTTGACTCTGCATTTGTGTGTGAGTCTTGTCCACACACAGCCTCACAGCAACTGCTATCTACCAGACCAGTTCTGTGTGTAGACATTGAATTGAACTAACTTTGTTAGTCGACTCTTGCATGGCTCAGCTAGTTCTTGCTTGTCCCATCCACTCCCTCATCTCGTCAACCATGCGTCCCCTTGGTCGGCCTGGCGCGGCGCGCAACAGGTGCACAGGATTTACTTCCCACAAGTCTTGGAGTCGTTAAGAGCCGATTCAGAGATCATCCCCCTCCCCTTCCCCCCCGCCTCCTTGCAGGGACCTGAGTGGCAACAGCTTCACAGGCGCCATTCCTGGCTCTCTGTTTCAGCAGAGCCCCAACCTCGTCAACCTGTCAGTCCATCATCTCCTGTCCTGTCTGCGTGCCTTGCATGTCATGCCTTGCACCTCGTTTTGCATGTCATGCCTTGCACCTCGTTTTGCATGTCATGCCTTGCACGCACCTCGTTTTGCATGTCATGCCTTGCACCTCGTTTTGCTTGTAGATGGGATTGTAACACCCCCACCACTCCCCCCCCCCCACACCCTCCCGTTGACTGCTTGCATCCCATGCCTTGTGCCTTGTTTTGGCCGTAGATTGGAATATAACACACCCCTCCCCCTGCTGCCCCCCTTCCCCTGCTCCTTTCTATGCCCCCCCTCTTCCCCCCTCCCCCTCTCCCCCTCTCTCTCCCCCTCTCCTTCTCCCCCTCTCCCCCTCTCCCCTCTCCTACCCCCCTCCTCTTGCTCAACATTCATCTGCAGCAACCTGGCCAGCAACGCTCTTGACTCGGATCTCCCTCCAGAAATCACCACCGCCTCCAAGCTGCAATCCGTGTAAGAGTCTCGAACCAAGCTGCAATCCGTGTGAGTCTTGACTTGAACCAAGCTGAAAATTTGTGTAAGAGTCTCAAACTGGGCTGCAATCTGAGTGAGACATTCAAACCGTAGACCTTACTGGTCTAGCCATGAGGATTTGACGACTTGCTGTGCTTCTGCTCCCTCTCTGAACCATTCTGGTGTCGCACCCCTTTGTCCCCCCCCCCTCTCTGCCTCCCCATTTCGTACTTCATTCATGCTACTCTTACGTTCTACACAACCCTCAGTCCCTCCTCTCTCTGGTTCCTCATGTTCCTAGCAGACAGCTATCTAACCACCCCCCGCCAGACCTCTCTACTCTTCCCCTGCGTCCTCTCTTCCTCTGTCGCCTAAAGAACCCTCGTGCCCTCTCAACCCCCTTGCTCTCCGTGCCCTCAGCTCCCTAGCAGGCAGCCAGCTCTCCGTCCCCCTTCCAGGCCTCTCTACTCTGCCTAGCATCGTGTCTCTCTCCCTCATGTGTTGAGGCACCTAAACAGACTTCACACCCCCTTAATCCCTCATTCCCCCTCCTCTCCGTGCCCTCAGCTTCCTGGCTGACAACCAGCTCACCGGCGTCCTGCCAGACCTCTCTGCTCTGTCCAGCATCGTCAGTCACGCCCCTTCAATCAACCCCTCCCTCCCCTCTCCGTGCCCTCATGTTCCTACCTGACAACCAGCTCAACGCCCCCTTCCCAGACCTCTCTGGACTCCCCCTCTCTCTCCCAGACTCCCTCTTTGTTGAGGCGCCTAAGCAAGCCCCACACCCCCTCAATCCTCACTCTCTCCCATCTCAATACCCTCAGGTTCCTGGCTGACAACCAGCTCACCGGCCCCCTGCCAGACCTCTCTGGACTCTCCAGTATCGTGTCTCTCTCGCTCTACGACAACGACTTCACTAGCGTGCCGCCCGATCTGCTCGAGAGGAACAACCTCACGCTGCAGTGAGTAATCTGATAGTGACTGCTTCTCCCTCCCTGCCGCTAAGAAAAATGACTTCACTAGAGCGTGCCGCCTGCCCTGCTCAATAGGAGCAACCCGAGCTGCAATGCGTAACATCACTGTAGCAACCCTGCAGGAGAAGCAGTGCCACCCTGCAGTGAGTGGCGCTGAGACAATGTGCTCTGAAGCAATAAGCATGAATGAGCACGGGCATGTGCATGAGCATCCCATCCCCTCTTCCCCACCCTTCCCTTCCCCCAGACTCTACAGCAACGACCTCTGCAAGCCATTCTAATCACTCTACCTAGTAGTGTGCTTTTCTCCGACCTCCTCACCCAGTGCACCTCCCATTCCCCTGCCCTCCCATTTTTTTCTGGCTCTTCCTTTCCCCCAAGGCTCTACAACAACAACGTGTGCAAGCCGTTCAACCCAGAGTACCTAGGAGTGTGCTCCCCTCCAACATCCCTCACCCAGTACACCTCCCCAGCTTTCTGCGACGGCTTGGCCTGCAAGGACGAGCTTTACACCCCTAGCGCACCGATCTATAGCGAGTCGCGCTCCTGTGTGTGCGTGTCCCCTTTAAGAGTCGACCTGGAGCTGTTTATATCCGATTTCGTGGTGTACCACAAGGACCTGGTGGAGCAGCTAGAGCAGAGGATATTCTCTGAGCTCACAACCAAGTCTGCCATCAACATCAGCAGGTCTCAGGTCAGTTGCTTGCTCTAAGGCTGGGCTCTTGGTGCTTGAAACCGGCACTAAGGCCACTTGTAACCTATTTTCCAACAGAAGCCTTGCTCCTCCTCTCCCTCGCATCCACCTTCTCCCACACAACACCACCACTGCTAACCTCACCATCGTTCTCCTTCCCCATCTTCCATGCCCACGTGCCCTGCACTGCAGGTCCTCATCTCCGCCATCAGCAGCCCCGCCACCCTCTACTCACTCGCCTCCACCTTCGCCTCGGACCACACCGACCACGAGTCCACGCTCATCGTCACTGTCCTCTTCTTCCCGCCTGCGGGCGACGCCAGCTGGTTCCCGCGCGACACGCCGCAGGCCATCCGCAGGGCGCTCACTACGCGCGACCTCACAGCGCGCGTCGCCCTCGGCAACTTTGGGCTGTTCCGAGTGGCGGGGTTCTACGGCCCGGCGCGTGAGTTTCATTCTGTGCGCCTGTGTGGGCGTTCCTTCAGCTTGCACCAACGGTTGTTTGTTTCTCTCATCAACTTTGGGCTGTTCCGAGTGGCGGGATGCTACTACGGGCTGCACGTGGATTCTACTTGTGCTTTCTGTAGTTGAGTGGCTCAAAAGACGGGGCCGTGTTGAGTGGAGGGACATACACAGAGCTGTGACCGTGCGTGAACGGTTGGGAGGTTTTGAGAAATCTCAAAGACCAAATTGACCATGCTTGATTGTGAAGGTCGGGAGGTGTATCAGCCTCAGAACGTGAGTATTTTATGTGTAAAACAATGCTCATTCTATGCGTGTTACAATGCCATGAGCTGACAACCTTGGCGGTGTTTGAAGGTGTCTTTTTTCTCTGCGCGGAAGTTCTTATTGTACAACCTCTCTCAGTCTTACATGCCCCTTCCCGAGTGTAACCAGTCATTGCCGATTGCATTCTCACTGCTATCACACTTGTCCCACCCTTGATCTCCCGGACCTTCATTTCCCTTCCAATCCTGGACCTGCTCTTCCACTCCCCCCCCTTCCTTTTAGAATCAGCCAACAACCTGCCATTGAAACAGAACCCTTCTGGGCTGTGGGACAGAAGCCATAGCTGTCATTTGAAGGGCATCCGTTGCCATTGCCATCACTCCCTCCCTCCTTGCCGTCCCCCCTTTCAAAACCACTATCACCGCACAGCTTACAACCCGCCATCGCAGCAGGCTGCTTCTGGGCTGAGCACCGGAGCCATCGTGGCCATTTCAGTGTCATCCGCTGCTCTTGGCATCGCCCTCATCGTGGCTCTGCTGATGCGACCCTGGGAGAAGAGAGGTGAGAAGGGAGGAGAGAGGTACGACAGGTCAATCGAAGCCACAGCAAGTTACTGCCATGGTAGTAAAGTATCTTCTGACACCCCATCTCAAGCATATGGAACGGAAACCACGAGTCTCCGAATCAGAACGTGGCCACGCTGATGCCTGTTGCCGATTGCTCTTGTGGCCCCTCCACGGGCTCTTGCCCTCTTTTGGAGTGGAGCCATGCGGTCTATGGGGTATTGGGGGTATTGGGGGTCATCAACCTGCAGTCAATCCCACCCTCCTCTTCGTCCCCCATCCTTCGACGCCCCTCCCATCTCCCTACCGCCCTTGTCTAATGGTCGCCCCAGGGTGGAGCAACCCGAACTGCAAGGCCCTGGAGGGCGTTGACCTGCACCAAGCTGCCAATCCCCCATCCGTTCCTCAATCGCCTTTCATCTGTTCCTCTATCGCCTTGCATCTGTTCCTCTATCGCCTTTCATCTGTTCCTCGATCGCCTTTCATCTGCTCCTCTATTGTCTTGCATCTGTTCCTCTATCGCCTTTCATCTGTTCCTCTATCGCCTTTCATCTATTCCTCTATCGCCTTTCATCTCATCCTCTACCGCCTTTCATCTGTTCCACTATCGCCTTGTATCTGTTCCACTATCGCCTTTCATCTGTTCCTCTATCGCCTTGCATCTGTTCCTCTATCGCCTTTCATCTATTCCTCTATCGTCTTGCATCTGTTCCTCTATCGCCTTTCATCTGCTCCTCTATCGCCTTGCATCTGTTCCTCTATCGCCTTTCATCTGTTCCTCTATCGCCTTTCATCTGTTCCTCTATCGCCTTTCATCTGTTCCTCTATCGCCTTTCATCCGTTCCTCTATCGCCTTTCATCTGTTCCTCTATTGCCTTTCATCTCTTCCTCTGTCGCCTTTCATCTGTTCCTCTGTCGCCTTTCATCTGTTCCTCTATCGCCTTTCATCTCTTCCTTTATCACCTTCCCCTTTGGCCCGTTTATCGCCAGCAGGGTGGTGCCATGCAGACTACGAAGGCCAGGAGAGGAGGGCATCAAGCTGCAGCACCCTCGGTGCCTCTCACACCTCTGTCCGTGCATCGCCCTTTGTTCGTGTGCCAGCCCCTTGCACACAGCTTTTGATTCCCCCCAGGGTGGACCCATGCGGACTATGAGGCCCTGGAGGGCACGAAGCTGCAGAGCGCTGGCTTGTCCGTCTATCTCCCTTCATTCAAACACTTGCATTCGCCCTCCCACCCTCTTTGTCCCCCAGGGTGGAGCAACAGGGACGGCAGTATCAAGCTGCACTGCAGCACGCTCGTTTGCCTCTTCCCCGCCATCCCTATATCACCTTTCATCCTTGTACTTCCTTTCGTTTTTCACCCAATATTGCCCCCAGGGTGGAGCCATGCGGACTACGAGGCCCTGGAGGGCATCAAGCTGCAGCACGCTCGGCGCTACTCGCTGAAGCAGCTAGCCGAGGCCACCAGTGGCTTCGACGACACGCTTGTGCTGGGGGAGGGAGGATATGGCAAGGTAAAGCTGATGGGGTTTGGGTGTTCTTTGAGTCGACGTAAAATGCATCAAGCTGCAGCATGCTCGGCTCGGCGCTACTCGTTGAAGTGGCTATGAGAGGCAACAATGGCTTCGATGACACGCTGGTTGGTTCTAGGGGAGGGAGGATATGGCAAGGTGAAGTTGAGGGGACACGTCAAGGCTTGCCATCTCCTTCGTCTTTTTTGTGTTCTCTCTTCATAAAATTTCTCCTCCTCGTGTTTTTTAGCATCGTAGTGTTAAGCATCAAGTTTCCCCAGCAATCGGCCTCGCAGGTGTTTCTTGGCTTGGTATCCTCAATTATGACCTTGTGGCCATAACAAAGCATCCCACTCGTGTCAAGTGTACCTTGCCTGCTTCTAAGTCGTTTGTAAATTCCTGGATTTTACTACGACGTCCTATTTCTTGTTAGTTCTCTCCCCTTCCCCCATCTCCCTCACCCAAAGTGTACAAGGGCATTGTAAGCGGCGAGCCGGTGTTTGTTAGGCACCTATTTTTTCTCATTATTCCTTCGCAGGTGTACCAGGGCCTTTTAAGCTGCGAGCCACTGGCGATAATGAAGCAGTATGCCCCCCCCCCCCCAACCCGCATCTCCCGTTCCCCACCCCACTTCCCCTCACCCCAGGTGTACAAGGGCGTGTTGAACGGCGAGCCGGTGGCGATAAAGAAGGCGACGGAGAAGCGGCGGCACGACGGGGTGGACTTCAAGAACGAGATCGAGATGTTGACGGCCGTGTCGCACGGCAACCTCGTCAAGCTCACCGGCTTTTGCGTGGAGAAAGACGAGCAGCTGCTCGTCTTCGAGTTCATGGAGGGCGGCGCGCTAGATGCTTGGATCAGAGGTGGGCCTTGTAGAGTGTCGCTTGTTTTGAGATTTAAAAAATACAAATGCTGTTGGTTGGTGTTTGACTTCATGAAGGGGGGGGACATTGCGTGCGTAGATCAAGATGTCTCTAATCGCGTCGCATCGCTTTTAATCGCGTTTTTGCGAGTGCGATGTTTTTTTTTTTTTTTTTTTTTTTTTTAAATTTAATTCATCGCTCGATGTAGGCATGAGCAAAACCGGGTAATTACCCGACCCGACCCGGTTTTGCTATACCCGACCTCGGGTCGGGTATTTTCGGGTCGGGTACGGGTCGGGTATTACATCCCAGCCCAATACCCGGACCTGCTTTTTATAGGCGGGTATTTTAATACCCGCCAGGCGGGTACGGGTATACCCGACCGACTTAGCATAAATGGGGTAATGCTACCCGCCCATACAAAAAGGCCTAAACGAGGTCTGTTTTTTTCACAAATTGATTTTCCATGTTCGTCTAACTGTCTCCTAGGGTTGAGACAGCAATATGGTCATGCAAAAAATTGTTCCCTGGATTTATGTGGGTTTGTTGCGACCACCACGATACTCATTACTTGCTTAGCTTGTTCGGGATTGATATACATGGCATCAAGATATACCTAGTATTCATAAAGGGCACACAGTTCACTCTACAGCTGGTCACAATCATTTGACAAGCATGATGCCATGTCTGCATGGCCCTAGAGCTCAATGCTGGGTCCGGGCATGGCACAAGCACTCGAATGTATGTCATAGGAAAACTGTCCATAGGGGCTAACCCTGTATGTACCCACGCCTCACAACCCCTCGTCGTCACCCTCAAGGCACAGCCCCCCCATGGCCCGATCCAGCGTCGCCAGGGGAGGCTGCCGTCGGCGCGCTGTGCCATCCATGACTTGAGAGTCATGGATGCACGCACCTGAGCAGTGCTCAGGCGGTGACGCTGCCAAGTGACCACGTTCCGCCCCTGGCTGAACGCCCGCTCGCTCGGTGCCGAGGTTGCAGGGATGGCAAGGTAGTCTCGTGCCATCGCCTGCAACCCCGGGTACGATGCGCGCGTGCGCCACCATTCGAGCGGACACCCGTCCATGTCCAAGCGCGCCTCCTGCAGGTACTTGTGAACCTTGTCCGGCGCGGCCACACCCGTTCTCGCCTCCACCTCTGCCATCGCCAAGCCCAGCATGTCAAACAGCGCCCCCCACCTCGGCCCTGGCAACACTCCCCCCCCCGGCCCGCGCTCCCCCTGTGCTCGTCCCTCTTGGCCCCTGTCCACCGCACGCCTGCTCTGTTCGTCCAGGTAAGAATGCAAGCGCGCCCTGACCCATGTCACCACCTGCTCCGATGTGACGTCTCGCACCGCCCTACGCCCCCAGCGGCCTCTCCCGCTAGCTCAGGGTGGCCCCCTCCCACCGCTCGAGCTGGAAGTAGAGCTGCTTGAACCTGGGGTCCAAAAATGTCGCCACTGCCAGCTCCATGCTGATGCCGTACACATACTTCTTCAGTACCTTTAGAGCCGCCTCCGCCAACAGCTTGCACAGCTCCCCGGTACTGGGGTCGTGGTAGCGACGCTCAAGCTCATCCATGAGCAGGTTGTACTGCGGCACCACTGCTGCGGCAGTGGGTACAACGACCCCTTTGCCGCAGTAGTGATGTCATGGAAGGGCTTGAGGAATTAAACCAGAACCTTCAGAGCGTCCCAGTGCGCGTCTGCAAGGCGGACACGCACAGCCTGTTCGCGCGTCCGCTTGTCGCGTGCCAACTGTGGAATGGGGGATTTTGAGGAACACGAAGTAGCGGAGGGGGAAACTCATATTTGGGGAGGGTAATACGCATGGGCGGACTTGGGGAGACTGTCAGCATTTCAATGAGGAAAATCATGCACGCGAATTATGGCAAACCAGGAATTTGGGAACCACACCTCGATTCCCGAGAAGTACAGCAGGATGGGATCCTTCAGCTTGAGGAAGCGTTCCACCATCTCATAGGACGACCCCCATCGCGTGGGGGTGTCGCTGATGAGGCGGAGAACGTGGCCGCCCTAGGGTTGAGCAAACTACCCGCCCGGGTCGGGTACCCGGTACCCGGACCCGCTTTTAGGGCGGGTCGGGTATCGGAAATCCTGAAAATTACCCGGCGGGTCGGGTCCGGGTTACCCGGGCCGGGGTATCAATACCCGCTACCGAAATGCTACCCGACGGTGTCGGGTAACGGGTACCCGACCCGGTCGGGTAAAAAAATACCCGAGGTCGGGTATTCCACCTAGACATGGGCGTAAGTCGCGCTGTGTTTTAGGTTTTGGGGCAAAACGGTTTTGGAGGTGAGAGGGGACGAGTGGAGCATTTGTGAGATGTTGGAGTTTGTAGATGGGGGAGGAGTTAACTGCGGTGAAAGGAGGGAGTTGGGTGGGAGTTGGAGAAAAGTTGGAGTTTGTAGATGGGTAGGAGTTCAGTGCGGTGAAAGGGAGGGAGTTGGGTGGGAGTTGGAGAAGAGGTTGGAGTTTGTAGATGGGTAGGAGTTCAGTGCGGTGAAAGGGAGGGAGTTGGGTGGGTTGTTAAAGAAGAGGTTGGAGTTTGTAGATGGGTAGGAGTGCAGTGCGGTGAAAGGGAGGGAGTTGGGTGGGAGTTGGAGAAGAGGTTGGAGTTTGTAGATGGTAGGAGTTCAGTGCGGTGAAAGGGAGGGAGTTTTGTTGGAAAGGTTGGAGTTTGTAGACAGGGAGGAGTTCAGTGCGGTGAATGGGAGGGAGTTTGGTTGGAAATTGGAGTTTGTAGACGGGGAGGAGTTCAGTGCGGTGAAAGGGAGGGAGTTGGGTGGTCAAAATTCGACCCCCAGAAAGCGCGACTCTCATTTGAGAGTCGCGTTTTCAGGAACCCTACCCAGCCTAGCCCAACTTTAGGATGCCCACTAGTAGGTGGCGGTAGTATTACCCGCTTTTCAGGGTAACCGGGTCGGGTATACCCGGACCCGCCAGGCGGGTATTGTATTACCCGTCCCCTTAAGGCCGGGTCCGGGTAAGGGTCCTGGGCATATTACCCGACCCGGACCGCAAAATTACCCGACCCGAGGTCGGGTATTGCAAACCGGGTCGGGTCGGGTAATTACCGGTTTTGCTCAAGCCTAGGCCGCCCTGACCCGCCAGCCGCAGCTGCTCGTCCTCGAACGCCTCCGAGCGCGTCGTGCTCCACCCAATGAACGACGCAATCTCCCGCATACGCTTGAGCGGCTCGAGGACTGCCAGGACACCAAGAGCCTTCTGGACCGCGAGGTTCAGGATGTGCGCCAGACACCTGAAGGGGGAAGTCCATGGCATGGCATGGCTTGGTATGGCATGGCTTGGTATGGCATGGCATGGCATGGCATGGCATGCACCAGCATGGCATGGCATCGCATAGCGCAACCCAACCTGAAGAAGAAGCCAGGATTCAGCACTGGTGGGTTGCGGGCGTCCTCGGTCTCCGAGTCGCCAGTCCAAGATCTTGAGCGCCTTGATGTTGTTTCTCGGCATTGTCCGTCGTGATGCCGAGGATGGGTCTTTCAGCCCCCAATCCGATATGACCTTCTCCAACGTCTCTGCTATCAGCACCCCCGTGTGCGATCCCTGGATCTCCTCAAACTCCAACAGGCTTGGCGCAGCTGGAGTCTGTCGTGATCCAGTGCGTCGTAACGGCAAGGAAAGCGTCTTGCGGTGGGCTGGACCAATGTCTGTGGTGAGGGAGACCTTCCCTGCCGCACCATCACCCAACAATGTCCTGCCAGCTGGCGCTCGCGCGCGGCGTCGCCCTGCACGAGCATGTCGCGAGCGAGGCGGAAACGGGAGCCGAGAAGTTCTGCAGCGAGAGGATTGAGGAGGCGGGTTGTAACAGCGAAACTAGGGAAGGGAGGGAAGGGGATGGGGGGGGGGGGGGGGAGAGAGTTGGTGGACGTGTGCAGAAGTGCCACTTTACATGGCTGGGGTGAGAATCAACGACGACACGTGGGAGATCGAAGATGCGCAGAGTTGAACGCTTATCTCTGTCAGTTCTTACCGAGGGGCGGTCGACCAGACGGAAAGGAAGGTCCGCGTCTGCGAATAGCTCGACAAGAGCGTGGCGCAGACGCTCCTGCGTGACGTGACGACCGAAGAACTGAGGGATCTGCCGTTGACCCGCCTCGACACCCCCACCCAAGCCGCCAGTGCCCGCACCAGGGATGTCGGGGTATGCGTCAGCGTGCTCCCACGGGTCAGGTCCGCCTGGCACCCCCAGGTACCCCTTCACCGGAAACTCCAACCCCGGCTTCTTGTTGGCATCAGTGAATAGGCGATACCAGATCTGGAGGTGAGGCATGTGGAACGAGCGCATGTGCTTCCACGCCGAACCAGTGCTGCTCTCACCCCAACTGATCGGCACCTCGCATGCCTTGCAGCATCGCGCCCCATCCCCCCCTCTGGCTGAAAGAACATCCCTGCATCAGCCCAGGGACAGTACTCTAGTATCCGACTGTCACCCGAGAGCTGTCGCTCGCTCGCGACCGCTTATGCTGTCCACCCGTGCCCCTCCCCCCCCGCCTGGGATTACAGGCCGCCCCGGCGCAGGCGTACCACACTCCGCATGACCCCCCTCCCCACACCCTCAGCATCCCCAAAGCGCGCTGCATCCCCACCACCGACCTCCATTCCCCCGCACCATTAGTGCCACTGCCGGGACCAATCGCCCCTGCCCTCCCCCACCAAGTCACCACGGCCGCGACCTCTCTCCCCCTCCCCTCCCTCCCCTCCCCTGCCCTCCCCTCCCCCCCCCTCCCCCCCCCCCCCCCCCCCCCCCTCCCCCCCCCCCCCCCCCCCCCTCCCCTTGGCGCGTCCATCTCCCGACACCTCATTCTCTTGCTCCGCATTGGGATGCCACTCCTGGTCACCCTCGCCTCCTCCCCCCGTCCACCACCCGCCCACCGTTCCCCCCAATGGGTTGCCCCAACCTCCCCCCCTCCTGTATCGCCCGCCTCCACCTCTTCCAGGAAGTCATCCTCCTCTCCCCCTCATCCGCACGGACACCGCTCGCCAATGCAAAACTCTGGCGGCCGCTAGGGAGAGGGAGGCCTGTCAGAGATGCTCCAGGCATGGCACCGGTCTGGAGCCCGCCACCCTCAACCCTCCCGCCCCGAAAGGGACGGGACGCCCGTCACGGTTGTAGAACTGCATGATGGGACAACCCTAAACGCTTAACTACGCGCTACAATGGGGAATGCGAGGGGGCAATAGGTCGTGTAACCCTAGATCTCCAAAACCCCGAACCCCAAGCGCCAGCCTACTCCTCTCCTCAGTGTAAAACCGCCCTACCCTAATGTCGGAGAAAAACGATTTATGGTGCGGGAAGCTTTTTGACGAAAGCGGGTGCTGTTGTTAGGTGGTGCGACTACGGTAGGGACAAAACGAAACCAGATCTGGAAGTTGGGCGAGAAATTTCGACCAAATGGTCGAATTCCACCCTCCCCAATTTAGATCGCGCTGCTTGGCCGACGGGTATACCCGACCCGATTTCGGGTCTTTACCCGAACTTGGGTATTTAATACCCGACCCGGCGGGTACCCGCTACCCCGCCGCCGTCGGGTAGCATTTCGGGTAGCGGGTATCGAATACCCGCCCGGGTAACCCGGACCCGACCCGCGGGTATTTTACAGGATTTCCGATATCCGACCCGCCCTAAAAGCGGGTCCGGGTACCGGGTACCCGACCCGGGCGGGTTGTTTGCTCAACCCTAGCTCGATGCGAAGTTTTCTAGCGCGCGATTTAATTTAAATCACGTTTTAATCGAACTGAAATCGCGATTAAAATGCGATTTGCGATTTGTTTTAAATCGTGCGCGATTTCGAAATACCACGGGGGCTCGCACCTATCCGAAACCCAATACTGAACCGAATTGTTTATCTAAACTACCGCCCACGACTGCCCTTGATCCAAATTCCCATCAGTGTTGGTTTTTTTAATCCGGTTTTCTGAGGCTTTTTTATTTAGGTGAAATTCGATGCGATTTTAATCGCATCGCGCGATTTAAATAAACATCGCATGCGGTTTAAACAAACATCGCGCCCCAAAATGCGATGTGCGATATAAAATTTTTCACCGAAATTAATCGCGCGATGCGATTTTAAATCGCATCGCATTTTTTTAAAAATCACACCCCTGTGCGATGCGATTTAAATCGCAATCGCGCTTTGATCATGTCTAGCCGTGATTGCTGGTGTTTGACTGCATGAAGGGCCGTGCACTTCATGCATGGATCACATGACCGCCCTCCATCCCTCCTGGTCCTCCTCAACGTTTGTCATGTGGCGGTTTTTTGTTGGTGTTTGACCTGCCACCTACCCTTACGCAACATGCGTACCTCCACCCGAAGGTACGTAGCAACCTCGCCCAATCTTTCACTTTCAGCAAGGGGTTTGGTTGACTTGGTCAACCAGGTCCAAGCGAAGAGACATGAGTAGGAGATCATCCCTATATACACCAGCAGAAAAACCTGATCCCCAACCACAAAGCGCATCTACGCTGCCTCGTCACACGCACTGTGAGTAAACATTGCAGCACGAGTGTTGGACCAATCTCCTCATTCCATGCATGATATGTTTGCTTGAGGCTCTAAAGGCCTGTCACAAACAGTACACCCTACATGTACCTTTCATCGGATCCTTCTGACTTCTCGAAGGGCCATTGAGGTAGGCATGATTTATCATCCTCTTGATGCACCCACCGACCGAGTACTGCTGCTTCTGCAAGAAGCAATCAACATGGGCTAAGCTTGCATACAGGAACAACACATTGATCAAATCCTTGTCGGATTTTTAGGTTTGCCATTCTGCCAACAAAGACAAACTTTGTGGTCTCCCACCTTGTCCTCCTCGTCCATTTTGCGGCTGAAGACATACTTGGTATGAATTGCATTTCTTTCGCCTACTTAGCACCTGCATCCCTTGCTGGACCCTCTATGCCACTTTTGCCATAGCCAGTGTGTGGTGATTGTTGGTGTTTAAGTGCATGGAGGGAGGTGCACCAGATGCCATCAAATGTGTGTCTTGCATCCGATGTGGCGGTGGTCGTTGGTGTTAGAATACATGGAGGGATGCGCATTGGATGCATGGATCAATGGTATGCTTCAGTATAGTGTTGGTTGTTTTGAGGTTTAGATTAGAGATGCTTACAGCTGCTTCGGCTTGCTTGGATAACCTTTCTTGCATTCCCGTTCCGCTCATGTAATCTGCTAGACTTGCCTTGCTCACGTCCATTATTTGGCACCTTATGAATGATTTCATGCCGTGCTGTGCCAGGCAGCAGCACAGAGCGCATACTATCGTGGAGGGAGAGGATGCGTATCGCCCTGGATGCAGCAAATGCGCTGCATTACTTGCCACAGGGAGATGAAACCAGGCATCCATACATCGCGATATCAAGGTGTGGCATCATAAGTAACGACTATAATCTCTGAGGCCATCTATTTGCTAAAGAGGCGGTACAATCATAAGTACATGAACGTAATGAGTGCACTTTCTTGCCGTTTTTGTTCGGTAGACTCTGTATCCTCGATCCACCACTTTTTTCCAACCATTCCTCGTTCTTCCTTCTCTCTCCGCCCCTTTCCTCTCAGCCTGCCAACATTCTCCTGACAGCCTCTCTGGAGCAAAGGTGGCTGACTTTGGCATTTCCAAGTCTCTGCCGGAGAGGGGCGAGCTGGTCCAAGAAAAGATCATTGGAAGCAGGGTAAGAATTCTTGCACACACACACACACACACACACACACACACCGCGCGCGCGCGCGCGCACACACCACACACACACACAAACAAACAAAACCTGGCATGGAGCACCTTGCACTTTGCATACTCCACTCATCACCTCTACGCTCCCTCTCTTCCCCCCCCCCCCCACAACCCCCCCAGGGCTACATCGACCCGCACTTTGCAATAACACTCTCTCCACCTCTCTCCATCTTCTGGTACCCAAGGCTACATCGACCCGCACTTTGCAATGACTCTCTCCATCTCTTCCCTCCCCGCATTTTCTGGTACCCAGGGCTACATCGACCCGCACTTTGCACAGTCGGAGGTGCTGACGGAGCGCAGTGACGTGTTCAGCTTTGGCGTGGTGCTGCTGCAGCTCGCCACGGGCCAACCACCCGTCATCCAGGGCGTGCCGCTCAGCCAGGTCGTGCTGCACCTTGCCTTCGGCGCCGGCGGCCTCTCCTCCGCTATCGACCCCAAGCTCTCGCCCCTGCTGCTCTCGCGGGTCACTCCCGCTCCTGCCGCTGCTGCATCCAACCGTTTTCATGGTGCTGCTGGTGCTGCCGGTGCTTCTGGCGCGGGTGTGAGTGTGAGCGAGGTGGTGGAGGGGCTGGAGGACACCTTTGGCACGTTCCTGCGCGTGGCGCTGTGGTGCACGGCGGAGCACCCCTCGCTTCGCCCCGACATGGAGCAGGTCATATCTGCACTGCGCAGCATCAGGGACCAGCTCCGGGCACTACCTGGTGCAGGTGGCTCTCTTGCCAGCCGTGCCAGCAGCGAAGCGCTTGCTGCGGTGGGGTCTGCAGGAGCTATCTCTAGTGCCTCCAATGGTTTCGCCACTGCTGGTTACCAGCATCGAGGTTATCAGAGCAATTCCGGCATTGCTGCTGTTGGGTCTGTTGGAACCAACCCTAGTGCAGCAGGAGGGTATCCCTCCGGCCCGCGTGCCCCTGGAAGTGAAGTCAGCGCGCTCACAGGGGGCCTGCCAGCCTGTCAACCCTGTGGAACCCCATGGCTGCTTCCTCGGGTCAACTGGAGTCAAACTGGTCAAGCCTTGCTGGGGAGCAGAGAGGGATGGATGGGTTTGATGCCACTTCTGGCACGCAACATCAGACTATGACAGGTCCCCATGCTCGGTAAATAGTGTACAGCAATGCAATACATACAATGCTGTTGTGGGGGAGGGCCTTTGCACTGTCTATTCTATTGCCCCACATCAACCGTACATATAGCCCTGGTGTTTCTCGGCATTCCCACACATGTTGGTGTCAGGCACTCTCAGATATCTTATTATTTACACTGGTTCTGCCCTTTTTTGGGTTACGGAGCAACCTGTTGTGCTCGATCAGGCAATTTTTTTTTTCTCAAGTAGAAAACAGAAAGAATCGTCTAAGAACTAATATTTTGTACTCTTGAACAGTGCCTATTTTTCTCGAGTAAATTACGAGAAAACCCCGGATAAAATGACCCTAGTGTGCAGAGCCATATACGTGAAAATGTGCATGGGAGTCTTATATCGTGGTTTGGAAATAGAAGTCCTGGGACTTAACTCGTACATAGCGGATTCTGAAAAAAGAATGTTTTCTAGTACAGGGGGAACTCAGCTGTCCTTCAGTCGAGTGTTCATGCACTCCGAGGGTCATCCAGACGCCGAATCCGCGTCAGCAAGGCTGGGCCACGGATGACGGCCAGCAAGGCATGGTGCATCTCGCACTGGCCTGTGAGATGAGAAGGCTGCGCCAGCACTCTGGCATCTGCAGCATAGTCCGGTCCGGTGCTGTCAATATGCTCGTAACAGCACCCGAATCTTGACAGAAAGCAACGGCGTGGATCGCACCTCTCTGAACGAATGGTTTACGACTATTGGGGGCCAGTCAAGGAGCGTCGCGCGAGGGAGCAGCATGCAGCTATCTTCAGACAGTGGTTTGGTGCGTGAAGAGAGGGAGGAGGCGACAGCGTCTCCTCGTGTAGTTCTACAAGGCTCGTTGCTCCCACGTCTCTGTTCATTCCTCTTTCAAGGGCCTGACAAGAGCTCGTGCTGAATCCGTGCTCGACGCTAGTGTCTCTGTGACTCTCTTGACGTCGAGTCCTTGCATCGCCAGAGGCGGTTCGTGTCAGCATAAAAGCCATGACGCCGTGGGACCCCGGTGTATGTAGGCAGCACGTCTTCTGCTGCTAGTGATCGTGTCGATTCCACCATGCCTCCCGTAACTAGGAGTGGCCTTGCGGCCATTATCAAGGGGAAAAACGTGAGGTCAACAACTCTCGACAAGTGGGTGTCTCTGTCACCCGCGCCCCCAGCGCCACCCGCCCCTCCCGCGCCTCCTGCGCCGCCGGCGCCACCAGCCCCTCCTGCCCCACTCACCCAGGTGATCCTGCCCCTTGCGCTTCAATTTCGCGACGCGGACTTCCCCGACCCCCAGCCAAACTTCGACAGGGTCTTTGAGGAAGACGGCGAGACTGATTGCGCTGGCGAAGCTGCCGCTGCCGATGCCGAACCGGAATCCACCGACGCCGATGCCAACTTCGATGGCCCTCTTTCCAAGTTCCCAACAGGTCGACGTTCTCGTGAGGATTGGGAACCCAACCATGATGCGTCCCCACCCTCTCCCCGCAGTCGTGCTAACAAGGGACTTCGTCGAGCGCGGACTGTGAAAGAGAAGCTCGCTTGGCTGGAGTATATGGACAACAATCATCTCGATTCGTGCTATGGCCAAGAAGGCCGATGTCCAGCCTGTGTCGATTCGCAGGTGGCTCAAGGACCGCCCACGTCTCGAGAAGGCCGCAACGTGTCGCAAGCGCCTTCACGGTGCGGGCGCGCAGTCGCTGTACCCAGATATGGAGATCTGGGTGTATCGCAAACTCCCGCACCACCGCTGCCAAGGGCTTCCAGTCTCTGTCGCTCTACTGCGCCGATGGAGTCTTAGCTACATGGCAAAGACGCATCCTACCGTCGAGTGGAAGGCGTCTTCCCGCTGGATTCAGAGGATGTGCGCCAGGTGGGGTCTGTCCGTTTGAGTGAAGACAAAGATTGGGCAGAGCCTTGCTGATGGTGAGCGTCTTACCATGCATTCGACGCGCCAATCTTCTGTTCATATTGCTAGTGTCGAATGCGTGAATATATGCAGGGCTTGCTTGCCAATAGCTTAACCTTCCCACTGTGTTCTGTTGCATCCTTACCTGCAGACCTGAAGCCGAAGGTGAAGAGCTTGTGGCGATTCTGCAGGAAACACATCTTCAACAAGGCCATCCCAGCACACCTGATGGTCAACGCCGACCAAGCACCACTGTTTCTCGAAATGCCACAGGAGAGAACGATCGAGCATAAGGGGATCAAGACCATGCACGTGCGCACCGCCGGCTACGAGAAAGAACGCGTCACCGTCATGCTTGCATGTACGGCGACGGGCGCCAAGCACCCTGCCTACGTGGTGTTCAAGAGGAAGCATGTTCCAAACATTCAAGTGCCACCGAGTAAGTAACTTGCGTGTGTCATGACTTGTTGTTGTAGCATGACTCATCATCATCCTCGCCCAGCATAACCCGCTGGCTCCCGATACTTCCTGCTGTTTTTGGTTGTGGCAGACGTTATCATCTGCGCCCAGCCGAAGGGGTGGATGGATGAGGATTTGGTCAAGGACTGGATCGTGAAGGTCCTGGCGCCTCACATCAAGCTGCCACCGGGAAAGCCCAGGCCTCACAGCATGTTGGTGCTTGACTCTTACCGCGGCCACCTCACAGAGCGAGTGAAGCAGACCCTGAACCTGTTCAAGGTCACGCTTGCAGTCATCCGGGGGGCTGCACGTCGATCCCCCAGCCGCTGGATGTTGCTGTCAACAAGTCCTTCAAATCTGGCGTTCGAGGCGCGGTCGGCATCAACTCCTTCATGCGGCCCAGTATGCATTCACCTCTTATGCCGTCTTCGTGCATACCCTGCAGCTCTCGCTAACCACATCCTGTTTTTTTCCACGCACGCTGTCACACTTGGCAGGAAACCTGAAGAAGCCGCCGCCAGAAGAGATCCTGCGCTGGGTCGGCAGGTCTTGGGCTGCCGTCTCTGCCGCACCGATCCAGAAGTCCTTCAAGGTGTGCGGGATCTCCAATGCACTAGACCGCAGCGAGGATCATCTAATCCTCCGCCATCTCAAGGAGCAAGCCGCGGAGGAAGTCGGCGTGACTGACGACATGGGCCCCGTCGGGGCTGACGGTGACAACTGCACTATGCATGACGCGGCAGAGGAGGATGACGGTGTGAAGGAGGCAGAGGATGACGAGGAGGAAAATGAGGATGCTGCATACGCCGCCCGTGCAGTGTACGACCCCTTTGAAGACTACGAGGAGGAGGAGCCTCCTGTGCCGGAGGAAGCACAGCTAGCGGTTGAGGAAGAGGCTTGGGTGCCACCTCGTTTGACCATGGCACAGCGAGTCTCCGTAATGGAGGAAGACTACGGTGATAGCGCCGCAGAAGAGGAGACTAAGAGCTCTGACGAAGAAGCCGTTCGCAGGAAGCATGATGATATGCTTGACTGGTGGTTCTCCTGCTAGAGTGGTAGTGTTAGATTAGCTACAGAGATGTGCTGACTATTGTGTAGTTGAATTCAGATCTCCTTAGCTGACAATGTGACTGCTATGCATGTTATCAGATAATCTTGGGTGCAGAAAATTGGAAAAAAACAAGGGGGGGGTCTAAACTAACGTCTTATAGCACGAAGCTAAAATGGTTGGTCTTATTAGTTGAATACCATAATTAAGTACCCCCCCGCCAATGGGACCCAGTGGGTACTTAAAAAAACCGGTCTTATATCCGAGGTTTTACGGTACTCTGATTCTCTGATTTTCAGAGTTGATTTAGTGTACCACCCTTACGCCTCTGGGTAAATTTTAGAGATTATATGCTTTCTCTGATAAGCCAGGGTTTTCTTCTGTACCACCCTAAGGGGTTTACGGTAAGGGGGATACCCCCAGATTTTCGTGTACCCCCCTGTCCACATACATGCCCCTGTATCCTCGCCTTGTTCACGCAGACCGCCGAGCTAGCCCACGTCATATGCTTCCAGACCCACCTTCACTGGCAGATACCCTCCTCTCCTATCGGACACGTGTTTTTTTTTCACGCAGGTTGCGACACCACACCCGAGTTTACCACATCGACTGCTGCCACACTTGTACTCGCTGTACATGTATGTGCCTCTGATTGGCCCCTAAGTCATTTTTTGCAGCCACGCACATCGACAGCCATGCAACACTGCGGGGATATTTTTCCCGCACGCGCGAGCATATGCCCTTCTCGAACGTTCAGGATGGCTCAAGAAGGCACCTGGCCTTCATGTCGATGGCGCCATGGGCTTCAAGAACAGGCGAGAAAAGCCTCGTCTTCTTAACCCTGTTCTTCTCCCCCTGTAATACATCGGCAGTAGCCGCTAGTGTCACACGATCGAATGTCTCGAGGAAAGGTTGCACTATCGATCGATACAACGTGCATTTATATTACTGAAGTACATCAGGTAACTAGGTTTATCCATCCAAAGGGAATAGAACCTTCTAGAAATAGAATCCCCGTGCGTATAGCCACACGAGGCTATTGGCTTTAAGGGATTACGACAGGATTACGCTAGATAGAGCGCGCCAGTACATCCCAAGCCTGGTCGGTGATGTAATTATAATAATAGGATAAACCAAAGGATGATGGAAAAGGAGGAATTGGAATCCAAATGAGATGAGATAAAGAGCGAATGAAATAGAAAAGAAATATGGAAATGAGAAAGAAGTGGAACGAGGTCGTACTCTCACACTTCCCCCCCTCAAAGCTGGGTGGTAGACGTAACACCCTGTTTGACAAGGTAGTCGGGAAGAGGACGACGAGCATTGTCCATGTCGAATTCAAAGACCCAGCTATCTTCAAAAGGATCATAACCCTTCCAGCGGATGAGAAGCTCCACGGTGCCATTTTGACGATGGCGGTGAGCAAGCACGGACTCGACCTCGTACTCGGGTTCATCATGGACGAGGACGGGCAGCGGCGGCGGCGGTTGGCATCTGGTGAAGACCGTGTTGGGGTCTCGGTATGGCTTCAAGAGTTGGACATGGAAGGCATTGTAAATCTTCCAAGTAGCTGGTAAACGTAAGCAGAAGGTAATAGGAGTGACCTGTGCCTCAACGAGAAAAGGCCCGCAGAAGCGATTTCGCAGTTTGGATGGGAGGTGGCTGATGTCAAGATCGCGCGTGTCGGGCAGAACGCGATCTCCCACGGTTATAGTGTGGTCCTTGCGGTGGCGATCGGCCTGACGCTTCTGTTGTTGCTGAATGTCGAGAAGGCACTTGTGGGTCCGATCCCAAAGCTGGTGCATGGTTGTGATGAAGTCGTGTGCGGGTTGGACTATGGCGGGTGCGGTTTGTTGCTGTGGTGTGAGCGGGTGGCGTCCGTAACAGAGGAAGAACGGCGTCTGTCCAGTAGCCTCGTGAGTGGCGTCGTTGTAGGCAAACTCCAAGACGGGTAGATGCAAGTCCCATTTGGAGATGTCGTCCTTGCATGCCACACAGAGGAGCTGCTCTACAATTTGGTTGAGATGCTCGGTCTGTCCGTCTGTCCACAGATGGTAAGCGGATGACATGGCGAGTTTGGTTCCGAGTAGAGTCATTAGTTCCTTCCAGAACTTGCTGGTGAACTTGGGGTCTCGGTTGGAGATGAGTGTGGTTGGGATGCCATGTTGTGAGATGATGTATCGAACGAATAGTTGTGCCGTCTCCTCGGTGCGTGCTGTCGTGTGTGTCGGGATGAAGTGTCCCATCTTGGAAAACTTGTCAATGACGACGAGGATCGCGTCATGACCGCTTGTGGTAGTTGGTAGCCCACTGATGAAGTCTAGGCTGACCACTTGCCATGGCTGTTCTGGGATAGGAAGAGGCTGCAGTAATCCTGTTTTTTTCTGCTTGCTGCTCTTCATCCGCTGGCATGTAGCACACGAGGTGACGAATTTCTGTACGTCATCTGCCATGTGGGGTCAGTAGTAGTGTTTGGCGATACAGGTAAGCATCTTGTTGCTACCGAAGTGTCCTGCGTATAGGACATCATGATATTCTTCGAGTAGTAACTGGCGCAAAGGAGGGTAATTGGGTACCCAAATCCTCTTTCATCCTTTCCGGTACGCGATGTCACTGTCCCACTGTAGCAGGTGTCGCAGGCCGGCTAAGAGCGTCTGCTTTGTTTTTATGGCCAGGCTTGTACATGATGTCGTAGTGGAAGTGTGTCTCGAGGAAGTCAAGTGTGTCTCCTTGAATGCTCACGATATGTCCGAGGAATTGGACCTTCTCGAGTGCGAAGTCGCTCTTGGACAATTTGATGTAGAATCGTTCTCGTCGAAGAATTTGAAAAACGCGTCGCAGGTGTTCGACGTGCTGCTTCATGTCGCACGAGTAGATGAGAATGTCGTCCATGTATACCACCACGCATTTTGCTTGGAACGTCGCTGGTGCATTGGTGAGTCCGAACGGCATTACCAGATACTCGTACGACCCGTACCAAGTTCGGAATGCAGTTTTGTGAACGGAATTGTCCGCCATTCTTATCTGCTAGTATTCGGACCGCAGATCTATTTTGGAAAATACCGTGGCTCCCCGAAGCTTGTCAAGCTGGTCATCGATTCGTGGAATCGGGTATTTGTTCTTGATGGTCTGCTTGTTGAGAGCTCAGTACTCGATGCACATGCGTAGGCTTCCGTCCGGTTTCGGCGTGAAGAGTAGTGCGGCACTGTATGCGAAGTGGATGGTCGGATGAGTCCTTTTGTGAGGAGATACTCAATTTGCTTCTTCATGTCGGCTAACTCTGTGGGGCTGAGCCGATATGGTGCTTGGAAGGTCGGCTTCGAACCTGGTTCCTCCATGACCTTGTGTTGGTGCATTCGGTATGGCGGTAGCTCGTTCGGGAAGTCGTCGGGAAGAATGTCTTGGAACTCTTTCAGTAATTATTTGATCTTCTCAGGAGGTTCCGAGGCCCTCTCTCCATCCTTTTCTACATCTGTTGCTATCGCCAGAAATCCGGTATTGGTTCGTTTCACGTCCTTCTCGAACCTGGCGAGGGTCTTCACTGGGATATCTCATGTATTTTCCCAGTTGGGTAGTTGGACTCTCCTTCCTTTGTTGAAGATGATCGCGGTGTGGTTTACCCAGTTGATCTCGGGGTTGAATCTCTTAAGGAAGTCTCGCCCAAAGGTCAAGTCAAGCCCTTATATGTTGGTGATGGGGAGTGCAGGTCTCCAGCATAGCGGACCGATTTGTAGGTGTTGCGCTGCTTCGCTGTACACTGGTAACCTGCTGCCATCCACCATCGTTGCAGAAAATGCCGAAGGCTTGTACTCTTCTCGAAGTCGGTCGATGGCTGCCTTGTCGCATAGGGTGTGTGATGCCCCGCTGTCCATGAGTGCTTGGAGGTGTCGTCCTTTGCAGATGACCTCAAGCACAAGGGGCAAGCATTGCTCGGAGTACCCAAAGATAGTTTCATTGATGGGATCATAGAGTACATCCCAAAACTCCGTACACAACTTTTCGTTGCTTCCTACTCCTGAGTTGGCAGCTGGCCAAGGCTGCTTGGAGAAAGGCTCTTCTCCAAGGCCCGGACTTTCTTTTACGACTGTGCGTGTTGTTGAAGTTGCCGAGTTGGATGCATCCGAGGGAGGAGTTCGGGGTTTTTGCAGCTTCTTGTAGACCCCCAGCTTCCTCTTGCGCTGCCTCAGCTCCAACGACGTCTTCCCTTGGGAGCGAGTAGTCGTTGTGGGCTGGTGTCGGGAGAGGACGTTGACTCCGTGGAAAGGTCGGCTTCTTTCCACACTCCTTATTTTGGTCCCAAAATTTTCCGGTCCCGGTATGATCTCAATAATTTTATGTTTCCTCTGGAGTCCCTCCTGTATTTTCTCCAAGGCTCTAGCCCCTCGAGAATCATAAGTTTTCATAAAAGCATCTTTGTAAGATAAATTTAACGAACCCTTATGATTTCTTGGGTCTTCAAGGAGTTTTCCCGTCTTGGCAGAGTCCTTTTTTTGCGGAGTCATAATTATCCTCGGGGATTTCCTCTGGTGAAGACTGGTCGTGGGGTGGAGATTTCCCCCCATCATATCCTCCTGCTCGCGTCGAATTAGCTTCGTCGAAGTTGATTTTTCCAAAATTCCGCGGCCGTTTTCGAATCTTTTCCTTTTGACCAACTAGATCCGCAATCACTGGCGAGTCCCGTTTTTTGTCCTCTGATTGGCCGAAGGATTTCCGCCACTGTTGCGTGCCTGATACTCAGCGCGTGCGGTTTTCATTTTGTTGCAGTCAACCCGGCACCCTGCAAAAGTCACACGTGAAGTTGGTGTTTTTCGGACGTGCCCGCCCCTCGAACCTGTCGACTTCCATCGGGTCGGCGAACGTGGGGTGAGCTAAGCAGTCGCCCTGTCGCGTCCTGCCAACGTGCGCCCGTCGTGTCCAGGCGTTGACCATGTCAAACCGCTTCGCTGCTGATACGACGTCACTGTAGCTCGCGTAGTTTGTCGCTGCTACTTGAGGTTTAACTTCAGTCTTCAGCCCGGCAAGGTACGATTGTACTTTTTCCCCTTCGGTCAGGTCGGGAATGCAGTTATAAAATTATTCCATTTGCTGCGTGTACTGCGCTACACTCCCAAACTGTCGATGCCAATGAATTTTTTCCCGGGCAAGGAAACCGGAATTTATCGGCTCGAAACGTTACAGCAGGTTGGAGCGGAACTGCTGCCACGTGGCTTCGCCATGGATGAAGGTAGTGTTGCCGCCGATCCACTCGAGCGCCGGTCCTCGCATCAGTGTTTCCGCGAGTCGTACGCGTTGGCCATCCCACACCGGCGGGCTCCATCTGACGGCTGCGAAGCAGATCTCTGTGCCGCCGATCCATCTGCAGACGTCGGATCGAACGGCTCAGGTGGGCGCGGCTTCGGAGGCTCGAGAAATTGCTACGACTGCTGCCTTGTCACAGTTGTCGTTTCGTGTTGCGCGCCGGTGAGTCGAGTTACTCACTCGTACTCTTGTAGCCAAGCTCCGCGGTCGGCTCGCATCTCATCCTGTAGGGCGGCGATGCGTGCGAAGAGCTGTTGGGTAACTTCAACGTTGTCAAAGTTTGCCATCCTGTTCAAAACATGCGCGGAGGGGAAAAATCGAAAAAAGCGCGGAGCTGGTGCTTACCAGAATCACCGTCAAATTGGTCGCCCCCGGCGGTTTTTCGAGGCAGGGTCCCTGCTGCTGCTGCTTAGCTGAGCGCGGCCGAGTGAGAAAAGCTCTGATTACCAAGTGTCACAGGATCGAATGTTTCGAGGAAAGGTTGCACTATTGATCGATACAAGGTGCTTTTATACTTCCAAAGTGCATCAGGTAACCAGGTTTATCCAATCCAAAGGGAATAGACCCTTCTAGAAATAGAATCACCCTGCGTATAGCCACACGAGGCTATTAGCTTTAAGGGATTACGGCAGGATTACGCTAGATAGAGCGTGCCAGTACACCCCAAGCCTAGTCGGGGATATAATTATAATAAAAGGATAAATGAAAGGATGATGGAAAAGGAGGAATTGGAATCCAAATGAGATGAGATAAAGAGCGAATGAAATAGAAAAGAAATATGGAAATGAGAAAGAAGTGGAACGGGGTCATACTCTCACAGCTAGTGTACCAGGTTAGCAATCATCTCTCACATCTCGTCGAGCGTGATCTATTCCGCCAGCCTCAAATCCTCTTGTCGTCCTGCCTCGCCACCTATGGCTGGCCTAGGCAATGCTGACGACGGCGGGGAGGAAGAGGATGACGCCCTACCCCCACGTAGCTTAATCCCACTCAGCGGTTTAGACTTTTTTCATCTCACGAACCCCTCCTCAGCACACCCTCCTCCGCTTCCAAAGCGTCGACTTACCGCCTCCCAGTAGAGCCTCCGCCGCTCCCAAGTCTAAGCAGCGACGAATGGGAGCGTAAAATGGAGGAGGCGAATCTGTCGGTTGACAAGCTGGCAGATCCTCCACCTCTGAATCCCGTGCCCTTGCCGCCAATATCTGCATCAACATCGTCGGCTAAGGAGAGACGACGGTACCAGCAGAGGCATTTTCCCTTCGTGCCTCCTCCCAAGACAACGCCGCCAGCAACCCCTGCCCCCGTCGTTGAGCAACCAACGTCGACCGAGAAGAAGGCAAAAACTTATCTTGCTGCTCAGAAGAAACATACCTCAAATTGGCATGGAAGGTTTCCTTGGCTCGTCATGGATAAAACTGTCGATGGCTCACCCTGTTTACGTTGCTGCATGTGCATGCAGCATGGCAAGCCGACAACCCGCTACGGTCGCGATGGGCCTGGCGATAGGGACTTGCAGATTGGCAGCATGCGGTGGCACGAGGAGAGCACCAAGCATGAGGTCTGCGTGCAGAAGCAAGCTCACCTCAACAAGGAAATCGAAACCAGAAGCGCATGGACGACTTCGCCAAGAACGACCCCGATGCCGCCCGAGTCATCAGACTTTTACGCTCCATGCTATTCACCTGTAAGGAAGATGCCCCGATTTCGATGTTCACACCCCCTCCTCCTGGCGCAGGAGGGGGTGAAGGACATACCCAAGCAGACTTACGGCACATACATTACGAACTAAGTGCGCTGTTTTCATGTTTGTGTAATCTATTGAATACTGGGCGGGTGTCTAATCTGTTGTCTTATTGTATGGTGTTTGTTGCAGGTATGGATTCAGGGAGATGGTGAAACCCATGGTGTCTTTCAAGAAGGCACAGCAGATGGAGCACATCCACTCCTCCCCGTTCATCGGCATCAGCTGCGATGAGAGTACCGACCGCACCCGCGGAAAGCACCTCATCGTCTTTGGCACCTTCTTGAAGAAGTGGCGTGTCAACACTGAGTTCCTGAGCCTGCTCACCATCGACAAATGTGATGATGCGTCGCTCCAGTCTGTCCTGCTGGGTCACCTGGAGGGGAGTGGCATCGAGCTTCAGAAGATCGCCGGTATTAGTGCCGATGGCGCGTCTGTGATGCTTGGCGAGCATTACAGGCTCGTCGCTCAACTCCGACTGCATATCCTCCACCTTGTCGCTTGCCACTGTATCGCACATCAGTAAGACTGCCGTTGCAGTACCCTCCTGTCTATGTCTTTGTGATTAGCCATACATGTTTCTAACCTCACTTGTGCCTTGGTGCCATCGCAGAGAAGCGCTGGCGGTCAAAGACGCCTCCAACTCCTTCCCCGATGTGAGAAGATGAGGCTTGCTCAATCCTTGATCACAACCATTTTGTGTGTTATTGTGTGTTATTTTGTGTGTTTTCCTTTCCTGGAAATCCCTACATATTGATATATTTCATATGTGTTATGGAGTGTTTCGGACTTTCCTTGCGTGTCACGTTTTGTATTGCGTGGAGTGTTCCGTCACCGTCACCGTATCTCTAGAATCATTATCGTGCTTCTAGGTAGTGTTCCTACGGATGGTTCAACTCATTTGTAGAACTCTCTTAAAAGGTCGTAGTTACCCTTCCATAGAGCTCTCCTAAATATATATAGGATTGTGTCTTTGCTTGTAGACATTAGACACATTAAATTCTATCATTCAAGGTTCCGCTAAATCCTGGACATGTGACAATTGGTAATCAGAGCACAAGGTTTCCGATCAACGCCTAGCCGCTGGCCTCTAAGAGCACGCCGAGGATGGAGTGGAACTTTTCGATCACGTAAGTAATTTACTTTTTCTTACTAAGTTTCAATGAGCCTGAAGCAGTTGCACCTAGGGTCTCCATAAATGGCAAGCAGCATCTCCAACCATTCCATTTTCAGCATCGACGGAGACAATTTTTTTGGGGAGCATATAACCCTCGCCAATGAGAGGACGTCCTTGAAGAACCCGCATTA